ATATTGATGTCTTATAGAAAGTACCAAAATATCAAGGATGATATGAGCACTCAGATACAGCACAAGAACAGACTGACGGAATTGGACTTGTTCTTAATGAACTGGACAGTTGGATTGAGGATATTAATTCCATATTTAAAACATTGGAAGATGTAGACAAAAATGTGCTTGCAAGTTTGTTGGTTTGAATGAATTCAATTAGAGAGTTAAAATTTTGAGTGATAATCAGTTTAGAAATTTTTTAGTAGAAATTAAAATGTAATGGTATATGCTAAGTAACCATTAAATAATACCATTTGCTGTAATTTTGAGATGTATAGAGTGGCAGAAACTTTCCACAAAACATCAGATCTGAAAAATACTTTATCACCAGAAGAATAAAATGCCATGTCATTAACTAATTTGGAAAGAAGTTGGATGGATAGGTAATTGTGAAAGTGATTGAAGGCTGCTGGAATAAATATTCTATATACAACACTATTATTTAAATCGAATCAGAGATAGTAGGAACTGCAGATGCTGGAGAATCCGAGACAACAAGGTGCAGGGCTGGATGAACACAGCAGGCCAAGCAGCATCATAGGAGCAGAGAGGCTGACGTTTCGGGCCTAGACCCTTCATCAGAAAAGGGGGAGGGGAAGGGGGTTTTGAAATAAATAGGGAGAGAGTGGGAGGCGGATAGAAGAGGGATAGAGGAGAGGATAGGTGGAGAGGAAACAAACAGGTCGAAGAGGCGGGGATGGGGCCAGGAAAGGTGAGTGTAGGTAGGGAGTTAGGAAGGGGATAGGTCAGTCCAGGGAGGACGGACAGGTCAAGGGGGCGGGATGAGGTTGGTCGGTAGGAGATGGAGGTGCGGCTTGAGGTGGGAGGAGGGGATAGGTGGGAGGAAGAACAGGTTAGGGAGGCAGGGACGAGCTGGACTGGTTTTGGGATGCGGTAGGGGGAGGGGAGATTTTGAAACTTGTGAAATCCACATTGATACCATTGGGCTGCAGGGTTCCCAAGCGGAATATGAGTTGCTGTTCCTGCAACCTTCGGGTGGCATCGTTGTGGCACTGCAGGAGGCCCAGGATGGACATGTCGTCTGAGGAATGGGAGGGGGAGTTGAAATGGTTCACGACTGGGAGGTGCAGTTGTTTGTTGCGAACCGAGCGTAAGTGTTCTGCAAAGCGGTCCCCGAGTCTCCGCTTGGTTTCCCCGATGTAGAGGAAGCCACACCGGGTACAGCGGATGCAGTATACCACATTGGCAGATGTGCAGGTGAACATCTGCTTGATGTGGAAAGTCTTCTTGGGGCCTGGGATGGGGGTGAGGGAGGAGGTATGGGGGCAGGTGTAGCACTTCCTGCGGTTGCAGGGAAAAGTGCCGGGTGTGGTGGAGCTGGAGGGGAGTGAGCACCAAACCATCATCTCGCAAACCATCCACAACCTCATCACCTCAGGTGACCTCCCACCCACGGCCTCCAACCTCATCGTTCCCCAACCTCGCACTGCCCGCTTCTATCTCCTTCCCAAAATCCACAAACCTGAATGCCCTGGTCGACCCATTGTCTCCGCCTGCTCCTGCCCCACCGAACTGATCTCCAACTATCTCGACTCCATTTTCTCCCCCTTGGTCCAGGAACTCCCTACCTATGTCCGTGACACCACCCACGCCCTCCACCTCCTCCAGAACTTCCAATTCCCCGGTCCCGAACACCTCATCTTTACCATGGACGTCCAGTCCCTCTACACCTGCATTCCCCATGCAGATGGCCTTAAGGCCCTCCGCTTCTTCCTGTCCCGCAGGCCCGACCAGTCCCCCTCCACTGACACCCTCATCCGCTTAGCCGAACTCGTCCTCACACTCAACAACTTCTCTTTCAATTCCTCCCACTTCCTACAGACAAAGGGGGTAGCCATGGGTACCCGCATGGGCCCAAGCTACGCCTGCCTCTTTGTAGGTTACGTGGAACAATCCCTCTTCCGTACCTACACCGGCCCTAAACCCCACCTCTTCCTCCGTTACATTGATGACTGTATCGGTGCCGCCTCGTGCTCCCACGAGGAGCTCGAACAGTTCATACACTTCACTAAGACCTTCCACCCCAACCTTAAATTTACCTGGACCATCTCTAACACCTCTCTCCCCTTCCTGGACCTCTCTGTCTCCATATCGGGCAACCACCTAGAAACCGATATTCATTTCAAGCCCACCGACTCCCACAGCTACCTAGAATACTCCTCCTCCCACCCACCTTCCTGCAAAAATGCTATCCCCTATTCCCAATTCCTTCGCCTCCGCCGCATCTGCTCCCAGGATGAGGCATTCCACTCCCGTACATCTCAGTTGTCCTCGTTTTTCAAGGACCGTAACTTCCCCTCCTCGGTGGTCGAGAACGCCCTCAACCGTGTCTCCCACATCTCCCGCACCTCATCCCTCACACCCCGTCCACGCAATAAAAACCAAAAAAGAATCCCCCTCGTCCTCACGTACCACCCCACCAACCTCCGGATCCAACGCATCATCCTCCGACACTTCCGCCATCTGCAATCCGACCCCACCACCAAAGACATCTTTCCCTCCCCACCCTTATCTGCTTTCCGGAGGGACAACTCTCTCCGTGACTCCCTTGTCCGCTCCACACTCCCCTCCAGCTCCACCACACCCGGCACTTTTCCCTGCAACCGCAGGAAGTGCTACACCTGCCCCCATACCTCCTCCCTCACCCCCATCCCAGGCCCCAAGAAGACTTTCCACATCAAGCAGATGTTCACCTGCACATCTGCCAATGTGGTATACTGCATCCGCTGTACCCGGTGTGGCTTCCTCTACATCGGGGAAACCAAGCGGAGACTCGGGGACCGCTTTGCAGAACACTTACGCTCGGTTCGCAACAAACAACTGCACCTCCCAGTCGCGAACCATTTCAACTCCCCCTCCCATTCCTCAGACGACATGTCCATCCTGGGCCTCCTGCAGTGCCACAACGATGCCACCCGAAGGTTGCAGGAACAGCAACTCATATTCCGCTTGGGAACCCTGCAGCCCAATGGTATCAATGTGGATTTCACAAGTTTCAAAATCTCCCCTCCCCCCATCGCATCCCAAAACCAGTCCAACTCGTCCCTGCCTCCCTAACCTGTTCTTCCTCCCACCTATCCCCTCCTCCCACCCCAAGCCGCACCTCCATCTCCTACCGACCAACCTCATCCAGCCCCCTTGACCTGTCCGTCCTCCCTGGACTGACCTATCCCCTTCCTAACTCCCTACCTACACTCACCTTTCCTGGCCCCATCCCCGCCTCTTCGACCTGTTTGTTTCCTCTCCACCTATCCTCTCCTCTATCCCTCTTCTATCCGCCTCCCACTCTCTCCCTATTTATTTCAAAACCCCCTTCCCCTCCCCCTTTTCTGATGAAGGGTCTAGGCCCGAAACGTCAGCCTCTCTGCTCCTATGATGCTGCTTGGCCTGCTGTGTTCATCCAGCCCTGCACACTATTATTTAAATGTTGTTTGGGTTTAGAGAGAATCAATCTGGTTTAAAACAAGTCATGATTTATTTGTGCCTGTAATAACACTTTGCAGATTTTTGCTGAACTGCCTTGGTTGGGGTAATAATCCCTTGGGTGCTTTCTCAGGTTTTGCTCAGCTCCTTCATAAGATTAGATAGGTTAGGAAGAGTACATTATTGGACCAAGCCACGTTAGCATGTCAATAGCTTTCTCACCTTTGCAGATTCCTTTATCTGTTATACTTTTTTCCTAATGAAGTGCAACCATTTTTCTCTACATTATGTACAACAATGTTATAAACTTAAATTGTTATAAAGCATTAATAGTTTCACTGCACAAAAAGAAAGAAGATTTCCACCATCACTACCCTCCACCAACACATCTCTTTCGCATTCCCCACTCCACCAAGACTTGGTCCAAGTTGGGGCTTAAGTGTCTATGAAGAACAGTGTACTTATTCCTCAGATTTCTCCTCTTTCCCTGTAAAAATCTCTAGCTGCCTTAGCAAAGGAACTATGCTTAATGGGAATTTTCAAATACACTGGTTCTTTCACTGCTTGTCAATTTCTGTACAAGCCAAAGGCATTTTTCTTCAAAGACCAGTGCTGCCCATAACTATGTGATCTTTCAGCTCACCTACGTTATCATTTTAGCTTGGACTGTACCTTTAAATACCTGAAATCCAACGAGACTGTGATTTCTTTTTCAACATACACAATATCATCTTTCACACATGCATCAAACACAATAACAGAAGCCCTTTAACCCCAAAGGATTTTGATGTCAGCTGTTCCTAATAGAAATATGAAGAATTTGTTGTTCATTTCCTTAATTGGAGAATCTTTTGGCTTTGTTGCATAAATGGATTGGGCTTAGGAAATGGAAAGAGAGATGAGAAGAATCATTAAAAATAGCAAATATTTACCAACTATTGTAAAAAGAGTTGAAATGCATCCCCTAGATAAGGGAAAACATAATGATTCTTAAGTCAAAAGCATTGGCATTATTAGTTACTTAGGTTTAAAGGTAAACTTAGTTTAAGCTACCATTCCAAAGTCTTGCATTATTTTCAAATGAACTTTCATTACCCTAAGTTTGGAAATATTTTAAAAGATTAATTGTTAAGAATTTGAAGTGTTAAACTTTCTAGAATGTCCCTTTACAACTTCCATTGAAATTAGTATATTGAGTCTTTGTATGGCACTGGAACTTTCACTTGCTCTTTCAATTAAGACAACTATATTGAAGTGAAGAGTGACTTACAGATCACATTCAAAATGATCTGAAATGCTGCTACTCAGTAGTGTGCTGATAACATTTTCATTATATAAATTGAATGGTTTGGCATCCGTGAGGGAAGTATAAGTTGTTTCCTGTAGTGTGTTCTTTGTGTGCGAATACAACCTTTATTTTATGTACAAGCTAAACTTTTCTGTCACTAATTTTTTTTCCCTCTTCTCATCCTTCCTCCTGTACACGACTACTCACACTGTATGCTGATCCTCCAGCCGGAAGAGTGGGCCGACAGGATTTAAAATCCTCCACGGTAGAGATGAAAGGTACGGCAGATGTTCACGTTGGTCTGGTTCCCTTAAATAACCAGTCCTGTCGGTCCAGTCAATTATATTATTGCCCAGACCAGACTGAGATTATAATGATATAATGAGAAATGATTCATGCTTTTTTGTATTTTCCCCAAACGACCAAATTTTTGGAGTCCTAAGGATTCTTATAGGTTTTTATAATACAGTCCATAGGATTTCAGTCAAGTTTTGAAATATTCTTTAAAGAAAAGCTTGATAGGATCTATGACAATTTACAATAGTGTGGGACTTTGCAAGTTGGTCCTTTTCCATTTTGTAACAATACTAATACATTATCTGCAAACATGATTAATGAATACCACACATTCGGTTTTTTGATTTATATGTCTACCATTTGCAGGTATTTCTGCTATAACGCGTGTTTCGTTAACACGAATTGGTAGTAACACAATTGATGAATAGTGGATGCTATTTGGACAACGCAAACTTTCTACTGTACAGTATAGTGACTTTCTATAGCGACTTCCCCATACACAATTTTCTGTGGTGATTTTCTATAGTGCAACGTTGCACAAGAACGCAACTATCGTGTTATAGGAGAACTACCTGTACTGTAATTTCCAATTATCTCTCTCGATTAACATATATGTTCATCAGCCTTATTAAAAGCACACCATGCTTTCCTGACAGCTTCCTGTCTGTTCTAGACCTAGATGGGATTCAAGCTAAGATCTTATATATTCTATAAATAAGTGTAAACCTCTAAGGTCAGTCTGCTCATATAGTCTTTTTCCCCTCTCATTTTCTCTGATGGAGTAATTAGCACATGATTCATCTTTAATTTTTTATGGCAAAGCCCTTTCTACTGTCAAGGTAAACCTGTCACCAACTGTCTCAAAGGTCCAGATTACCGCTCAATGACAAAAACTAGAAAGGCCATACTTAGATAAATGTAATTGTGTCATTTTCTGTTGCTAATAAAAATTAACTTTTATTATATTATTAATATATCTATATTATTAATATATCTGAACTGTGGATTTCATTTCATGAGTGATCTGCACATCCTTAGATGCCTCATCCTGAGCTATTTTCCTTGACAGTTTTTGTTAAAGTGAATAGCCCTCGCCTTCCACTCTCAGGGACAAGTTAAGGAGGTAGCTCCCAAACAAACACAGGCATTGCTGGAGAAACCCTGAAGAGTGGAACAGAGTTAAAATTTTGAGTTCTGATCTCAGTTCTGAAGAAGAATCATACCGAACTTGAAACGTTAACTCTGTTCATCTGTCCGCAGATGCTGCCAGACCTGATGAGTTTCACCAGCATTCTCTATATTTGTTTCAGATTTCCAGCATCCACAGAATTTTGCCTTTATTTGAGGTAGCTCCCAAGTCTACCTCAACTGGAACAGGAATGAATTCGGATCATTGATACTGCTCTGACCTGCAGACCAGTCATCTAGCCCAGGGAGCTAACCAGTCCCCTAACTGTAGAATAAAAGGCACCTATATGAAGAATTTAAAGTAGGAGAAAATGGTTTTGCACCAATAAACGAGTAAGATATAAAATGGAGATTATCAGGTGTTCTTTATTGCAAACTACCATAGATGTTCATCCTTTGGTTATCCATATATAATGCTAAAGACATTTAGGCAGCGCATTTTCTTTAAAACAGAAATCATCATAGCACATGTGAAAACAAAATTCACAATCCAGAAGTGGTGCTTTAACATAGACACTGAATGCATTGTCTGACACTGAAGCTGTCCTTTGTATAATCATTGAAACCACCACAATGTACCAGGAAAATCAATGCACATCAGAATGTCATGACACATATCCAAGCTTTCCTATTTAGTTACTGATGATTGTCTGCAACCTATCCTCCTCCTTATAGTTTGCTCCACCAGCAGGTGGACAGAGGATATATACAACAAGGAGCAACAAGGTGCCCGTCAAGGGTGCTTCAGAGTTGGAGAGTCCTGCATACAGTTAGGAGAGTAGAATGCTGACAATATGAATGAAATTGGTACAAGGCTGGTACAATTACAACATTTAAAAGGCATTTGGAAAGGTATACGAATAGGAAGAGTTTAGAGGGTTATGCGCCAAATGGGACTAGGTCAGATTGGGATGTCGTATGACTCTATGACTCTGTAATAAATGCGTTCAGTTGTTAGCTTGATACATTAAAAACTTCTCTAATCTTCTCTAATCTATTATTTCTTTTTGTTGGGCGGGGGGGTGTGAGGTAAGTGTGGGTGGGTGTAGGTAGGTGTAAGGAGAAACTTTCCTTTCTTTTTGTAACTCTATCTTCCATACAGTGGTAGCAGAAAAAGAGACAGGCAGTTGTGACAAATTCAATGTTTCAGCCCGCTGTTGCATCATTGTTAAGAGACCAGTGCAAGAAATCTAATAAAATAAAGAAGGAAGAGTAAGCTATTCTCCTTTTCTTATATAACTATGGGAAATGAAAAACAAACACTGTCCTCCTGAGTATTGCTTAATTGCAAAAGAATCCTCCTGAGTAGTTATTAGATTAGATGCTTTTGGTTGCAAGTATGAATTATTTACTAGCAGGCAAGCCTGATCATTGAAATACAAGGAAATCTGGAACGTAGAAGACATTGTACATATCCCAGAGGAGCATTTTTCTCTGTGGGAAGCAAAACATTTGCCTCTGCTAACAGTAGTATAAAGGCTGTCTCTTCAAATGCTGATGTGCAAGTACTTTTTGTCAAAAAAAGTCTTTAATATTGATTTTTCTAATTATAGCAAGCTCCACAACATATTGAAGAGGTGGAGAGGATAATACTTTATATGGTCAGATCTGTAGTTCTGTCATATGAAATAAAAAAATTGGCATTGGAAATATAAATTTTAAAATAGAGCTCAGTTGAGAAATAACCCTGTTTAGTTATGGCTTACCTGAAACTTTTGTGGAATTGAAACATTATCTAAATAAATTGAGAAAAACTAACAAGATTACTGGATTTCAAATGTATTGAAAAGAGCAAAATAATCCTACATTGCCTTTTCTGTTTAGCATAATATCCAGCATAATGTATATGTAAGCAATAGTCCTGTACAATGCACAACAGATAGCCATTGGCAAGTCATTTGTACTGCACAGTACTGCCGTTTGCATACTGGCCACAGCAGAAACACTAATAGTTGTGTTAATTATAGAAGAGCCGGGAGCCATTTGTCTGTTGTGTTTGATAGGCAAGGGGCAAAAGGGTGTATATTTAATCTCCAAACAGAACTACATCCTACAGTCTCCCACAGCATGAAATACATGAATGAAATACAACCTCCATTTGACATGCTGGTGATAACTTTAAAGGTGTGATCTTTCTGAGACTGTAGATGATGTTATGAATGAAAAACGATTTTCTTAACTCAATAATGCAATTGCAAAAAGCTTTAACCAATGAAGAGAAATGAGTGGATGCTACAGACCCTTAACATTGTTTCAGTCACTTAGCTTGTGATCAGATATCACACAATAGCTATTAGAGGTGTCTTCTAATCTCAGCAACACTTTTTTATATGTATAGAAGTATCATTTAGTACAGGGGTTCTATTTTACTCCTCGACTATGTATTCAATCTGCAACTGTCAGGAAGGAATGAGCAAGAAAGCAATTGTTAGAAGCAGTCATTTTAATGCTCTATTTATTGAATGGAATTATTTTTACCTGAAGCAGATCTGTCGTTTTCTTTCAATTCTTGGAACTCTTGAAACTTGTCCACAGTGGGAATGCAACACTGCTGATAACACTAAAAATACACAGCTGTAAATCTTCATACCGAGAGTTATTGAAAATTTCAACTTTATGAACATCACGGGAGGTTCTGTAGAAAGCAGCAGTGTAAAATTCCATCACTGGTTGTACAGTTCAATATCATAACTACAGTTATCTTTGGCAAATCAAATGGAATCCCAGACCTAGTGATTACAGATTGCCAAGCCTTACAAAGTATTTGTATGTGGTCAATAGATGAGGGCATTATTTGTCCTCATGTGTTGCAAGGTAGAAAATTTGTCAGACTTTAATGCTCAGATGTGCATCTTGTTAGTATCTGAGGACAAATCTATTGTGTAAGGTATCAGTTTCAGAATGATAAGAAGATAAGTGGAAAGAAAACATCATTTCATCTCTTCAATTTAGCTAAGGAAATGTATTCATATATTACAGTGACTTATTTTTACGCCATTGAGCACATGCTCATTATACATCTCGTATCACAATTCAACCAACAGAGTAGACTTGACAAATCTTACAAGATGGAAAGACCTGTTGGTATTTCTGTTGGTATTTCTGAATTTGATGCCATGGCCTTACCCTCTCCACCTCCTCTGCCCACTTCACCAGCACCTCCCAAGCTGAGGCATGGAGATTGAAGAGCAAATGCCAAGCTGCAACGTGACCACTTCAGTTAGGGCTGGATTTTGTGTTGTCCCATTTTCCAAGTTTTAAAAACTGACTCCAGCACCTTTGCCCAGACACATCATATTTTGGTCTCCTGGTGATGTGAATAGACAGGATTTGGGTTCTCTGAGGCTCAGTTCTCCAATTTCATTCTTATGCTCCACAACATCATGCCCCCTCAGATCCCAATGAACCCTATGTGACACTCATATCCCCATGCCCTTCATTCATCTCATATCCCTAAGGCACTCCTTTTATCCTGCAAAGCACTTGCTCAATATCCACTATGGGTAGACCTCAGGACACTTTGAAATGGACATTTTAAAAAAATTCTAATAGATATGTCATAAATACAGATAATCCTTTAATGATCTATTAAAATCATCATCAATAAGACAGCAGGGGAGTAAGGCACCTGAGCCAGGGCTCATCTGCACCAACCAATTTTCTTTTCTTCCTCTTTTTACTTACCTTTTGTCCTGAGCTTGGACGGCATTGATGGTTGTAAGGAACTACAGCACAGACTCGAGTGGGCCCAGCACAGACTCGAGTGGGCCCAGTACAGACTCGAGTGGGCCCAGCATGGACTCGAGTGGACCCAGCACAGACTCGAGTGGGCCCAGCACAGACTCGAGTGGGCCCAGTACGGACTCGAGTGGGCCCAGCACGGACTCGAGTGGGCCCAGTGTGGACTCGAGTGGGCCCAGCACAGACTCGAGTGGACCCAGCATGGACTCGAGTGGGCCCAGCACAGACTCGAGTGGGCCCAGCACAGACTCGAGTGGGCCCAACATGTACTCGAGTGGGCCCAATATGGACTCGAGTGGGCCCAGCACGGACTCG